GAACCACCGGAGAATGGGCCGGCGGCTAAAATATTGGCACCAACAATGAAACCAATGGCAATGGGGGCAATGGTACCCAATGAACCCTTCTTTGGGTCAGCTGCTGTTGCATATACTGTGTATACCAAAGCAAAAGTGATAATAATTTCCATAACAACTCCTTCTAGCGCTCCCACTCCAGCTGCCACATTGTGTGTTGGAACAGCCTGAATAATAAAAGATAAAAAGAATTAACCTAAATAGCCGTCCACTGTATCGTTTAAATTTAAAATAATCGGTAGATGTATAATATATGTAAACCTCTCTTTAATCAATGTATAATCTATGTATATCGACTATAAAAAATAAATGATGAATCGACCGGCTATTTGTGTAAAGAAAGTATTCAGATTTACGACCTAAAAATGAAATATCAGTTGCACATAACATATCCAACTTTTATAAACTAATACTGTAAAATAATTTTTAGAACATCAATAATAACAGGTGTAGTCCCTCAAAAGTGATATTAAGTAACAAGACTAATAATTAAGCTAAATTACATGAATTTAATCTAATAGAGTAGAAAATATCTATTTTTATCAATTTATATAAGTTAAATACAAAACTAAACTTTATAACACAATTGAGTCGTAGAACGAACGATAGTTTTTTTTTTTTCTTTCAAAAATTTATATTTAAGAATGATCTAAGTTAATCAATTGTAGCAGATAATCTGTTATATTTTTAAGCATTTTTTAAAATGATCTGATACTATAAATACTTTTTATATCGTTAGTGTTGGAAGATAAGCTTAAAATACTACTATTAGAACTTACCAATCCACCGGTGACAACTTTGAGAAGCAAGCAAGCTACAATGGAGCCCAAAAGCTGAGCAATGGTGTAAAAGAGGCCAGTAAGAAGTGTAATTTGGCCGCCGAGAGCCAATCCGAAGGTGACAGCTGGGTTAACATGTCCACCAGAAATGTTAGCGCCAATGGCAACGGCCACAAATAGAGCAAATCCATGGCAAACTGCAACAGCTACTAGCCCAGCCGGATCAAGAGCTGCATCTGCTGTCAACTTATCTGCAATTTATACCAAAAGATTACTAATTTTAAAATCTTATTACATTTCCATTGTGAAAAAACAAATTAAATACCATGTAAAGATTGTTGCATGGGCACGAACATTTTCCATGTTTATCAAACGCATTATTAAAGTTAGTGGATTTAGAACGAGTATAGTTGTATTATGTGTATAATACATTTTGAATAGTTCGAGTTGAAAGTAATAAAATTTGTTGAAATTATAGAACTCGCCCTAAATTTGTCTCTGGCGGTAACACCAGCCAGTGTATTTAACTACGAAAATGTAAGTGAAAAGTTAAAATGTAGAAAAGGATTGGAGGAGTTATTAACTGTAAGCAATGGCAGAACCAACTCCGGCGAAGACAAAGAGTAAGGTTGAGATGAATTCAGCAAGATAGGCCTTAAGAGACCCAACGCTAAATGAATCATCTATACGTCCAAAAGCTATGCAAGGCATTTTCACAATTAAAATAATTTAATTACTTCTAATTAGAAGCTAAAGGAGAAGGGACGACAAGAATAAACTAGAGAGAAAATTGCTTTTTGATGAGACTAAGAGGCCTTTATGTGTCACATATATATAGTAGGAGTATAGACATATTTTAATATGAAGTTAATTAATGAAGTTCATGAGATTTTCACTGTAGTATACATTAAGAGCCTTTTCCCTTGTTATTACTTATAAAGGGGAACGTTGGAGCAACGATAAAGTTTTTTTTCATGTGATCTATAGTGTACGGGTTCTAACCGTGAAATTACAATATGGTATGCCGTTTATATCACAGTGTGATCCTTCCTCCAACGCTGCATAAATGCGAAATACGTCGTACACTGAACTACCCTTTTATTTTTTTTCTTCCCGTTGTTACATATAGAACAAGATAAGGCCATAAGGGGGGAATATGCGAATGTACATATGTGTCCATGCATATCCTTTCATGTTTTTTTCTTTCTAGCAAATCCAAGCTGTCATTGATGTGCTTTTTGTGGAATGTCTCAAACCTCATAAATAATCCTCATCCATGTGAACCATAACTAATGGGTATGATTGGGTTCTGAGGTGGAATCAAAATTTTAAATATATGTATATTCAATTTTAAAGTTTTTAATACGCATCTAAGTCATTATTATTATGTGTTATTTTCTGTGTTGATTTTTCGATTGCCATGTTATTGTGTTGTTAATTATATTCTTGTCTTCATTATTTTCAACATGGCTTTTTCACTGTTATTTTTCTTTTTCATCCTGCCGAGTATCGTATTTCTTGAGCTAAGGGTCTACGCAGAACAATCTCTCTACCTCCATAAGGTAGGGGTAGGGATAAGCCGATAAGGTCTGTATGCACATTACTTTTTCCAGACCTTGTGATAATATACTAGGCATGTTGTTATTGTTATATCGAAATCAATATTCAATTTGGAAACATTGAATTTCACATGAACGCATAGTCATTACATTTTGTTCATTTTTTATTAGGATTCTTTCCCCTCTATTAAAGGTCGCGGGTTTTAAATTTTCTGAGGAAAACCTTGATAAGAACGGTGGAGGGGTCCCTCTAAGGGGTACCTCCTGTGTAAGGTAAATAATGATTAAAAAAGTGAAGTAATGGTGGCATGACAGAGACAAATAGGGTTTGGTCCACAAAATGCACCGACCAACTATGAACTTAGAGAATGAGGGGGGCCTCTGTATGTTTGATTTTTTATGAAATATATGGATATAAATTGAAGTGGACTAAATTAGGTTTATTGTGAGCTAATTAATATATTGGATAATTAGGGTTTAATAATACAAATTACTTGCTGGGTGGATTAGGAATCCTTCAAAAGTTCTTGTCATGCTTGGTAGTTGCCTGCACTTTTGAATTAAATTATTCTCCATTGAGGAATATTAGGTTTTGTTCTGTAAATTTTTAATTGATCATGAGTCTGTCCAACAACTTCTGTACTATTTAATTTCATTATCTTTCTCTTTTTGTGAATTAAAAGATCGGATATACGATTAATGTTCTTTCGAAAATTTGGAGCTATTCTGATCATAAAATGACTTATTATATATAACCTCTTTTAATGATAGATAATAATGTGTTTGATAGCTACCCCTTTATTGTCTCGCTCTCCATTCTTAGCCATTTTGCTTTTGTGTTTTAAAATGGAAATATTCTTGTACAAATTAATTTTTTTTAAAAGGATGTTGAGAAATACATACAAGTCCATTGACATAATATGCGTAATAATACATATACACGGCAAGATGAGGATGCTTTGCAACGAATAAATTTGGAACACCAAAAAACTTTAGTTGATTTTTAATCATTAAAACCAAATTAAACCAAATATTATAGTACTATAAATTTATCGATTCAATTTGTCAATTTATTGATTTTGACAAGTACGATAGAAGCAAGTTCAAATAGCCATCTTTCAACATCATCAAGAAATGATGTGTTAATATATGATTAATCACAAAAGATTTGTGTATTATAATTTATCGGTTGGCTCAGACTTTTTTAAATAAAATAAAATAAAATCATATATTATCCTTCTTTTTAAACCAAACAAAACCAAAAATAAAATAAAATATCGCTTATTTAGTTTTTTTAGTTCGATTGTTGTATACCCCTTGCATCTGAATATGTACAAGCTAATGAAAAATCATGTACAAATTCTAAAAAGGAGACAAGAAGAAATTATTGCGATTACAAAAGCACAATAATGCCTTATAATTGATCACAAGTTAGTTCGGTTTTGTCGTTACATCACTATGCTTCGTCCTTGAACTTGACTAACAGCCATCTTCATCTACAATTTACCACAAGCATACATGACCTATATAAATGAATTATTGCCTCTTGAAAGGTCAAACCTAATTTGTGCGGCGGTTTCGTAACCGACCATATCCCATATTGATTCTTGGTCTGCCGAAATCATTTGGATTACTATTGACAAGTGACTCATGACAAATATGTGGTAATTGCTACATCCTTAACTTTTGAATTTCTCTTGAACCTTAATGTTAGACTCCAAAGCTTTTTACTTGCTACGTTTAAAATTACCAATTTAGTAAGAAAGGACGGTGTGGGAGGTGGACAATTAAGAACATGTGAAGGAAATAGAAATGCTTCCTACCAAGAAATTCTCAATCTAAGGCTACTAAAGACGACTTCAATACTCTTAGATCGAAAGATGGTAGATCTTAATTTCATCGGATCATTGTGAGGAGGATTGAAAGACAAACGATTGTGAGCAAGATTTAAAACAAACTTCTATATGGTGCCTGCTTCATTTATGCCCTGGTCCTGCTTGTAACCAAAGAAACGTCACTTAAAGGCCTCCAATTAAACTTTTGATTTTACATACACCAAGGATTAACAGTTTAACAAGATGGCAGCATAGTAAATCTTGCCAAAAAAGTGAAGTTGCAAAAATTGGCAGCAGTCAATTGGCACTCAGAAGTTAAAAAATGGTGGAATATGTCCTATTTCATCGCTTCGGGGTAGAAAAAGAAGATTGATAGCTTTCATTTTAAGGTTACGAGACAGTAGCAGAAGTTAAACATGAAGTGTTCACTTATTTGTTTGTTTTATTTATCTGGTGCTACCCCATTGCAAAAGTTAAAGTAAGAGGCATTTCTTACTTGATAGCTGAGAATTCCATGAAAAAGCAACTTTTCATCGAATAAATATCAAGTTTCTGGGTCCAGGTTCTTCTATAGAGCTTCACTAACTCTAAAGAAGCTATGGCAAAGGCAATGAAGAATACTACACATCTCTAACTAGCCTTCAAACACGTCAGCATAACTCTAAAAACTACCCATTAAGTCAAATTAGAAACGGCCTAATCACTAGAGCCATCCAGAATTTCCAGCAGCAGGGTGCTCAAATAACTAGCTAAATGTACCCAATGTTTAAAAATTAATGCAGGACAAAGATTTCTGGAATTCTACACATGATATTGAGAGTTAAAAAGAACTCGTCTGTGTCTTTCAGGGTACATTGGTCGCACACAGAATAATAACTCTCAGCTTCAACCAAACAGCCTAGAGTATAATGGATGATCCAAACACAATTAACTAGGAGAGTATACTACCAGTAACAGGAAAAAACAAACTATTAAACCCGGCTTCTAAAACTCAATCTAGCTGCATCTCTTCAGGAAATGGGATGGAAGCACAGCAATGGTAATAGCCATTGTCATCGAACACAAACCTTTGTGAAAGATGAGCTTCACGGATAAGATACTCTCCCCATTCTTCCGAGCCATATTGACCAAAAATTGTTCGTGCATCAAAGGAATCAGCTTTTCTTGATCTTGTTTTGCTATCAATTAGAGAACGGTAAGTCAGTGGCACCAGTAACAACAAAAAGAGTTATGCAGCCACTAGAATCATGATAGAGAATTTAAGCTGACAAATAAACAAGAGTATGCAACAAAAGAATAAAATATGGCACCTTTTTCTGTGTCGCGCATTCATTATAGTGGCATGCAACTGTATTAGAAGGGGCAGAAAAGGCTTATCAGGAACTTTTCAAATCAAGAAAACAGCAAAAATATAAAAGAATGCAAATTTAGCAATTTCCACCACGACAGTTTCATGGATCAGCTATATGTATTCAGGTAGTAAATTTGTAAAAGGAAAAGGACCACCAAGACAATAGAATATGTGAGAAGGCACGGGAGAAAATATGTTATTGATATTGAATGAACAATACAATACAAGAGGTCCTTATTTATAGCTATACTATACAAGGACATACTACTCTTCTACCAATGTGGGACAATACTACACTATATACATGCTGTAAACTAACACTCCCCCTCAAGCAGGTGCATACAAATCATATGTACCGAGCTTGTTACATATATAACCAATACGAGGACCAGTGAGGGACTTGGTGAAAATATCTGCAAGTTGATCATTCGACCTCACAAACTTTGTAACAATCTCTCCTGAAAGTATCTTTTCTCTGACGAAGTGACAATCAATCTCAATGTATTTAGTTCTCTCATGGAACACCGGAGATGTCTGCTTACTTGCTCGATACTGAAAGAGCTCATTATATTCTTCTTTAGATAAAAAAAATCCTTCGTTACCTGGAGTCTCGGNATAGCTGCCGGAAAAAACTCAAAGTTGTCGGAATGAAATAAAAACAGTAGGGGTAGGATCGGAATTACCAGGCGACCCAACTGTTCTGAAGGAAGATTTTCAAAAAATGGCCGGAAGTGGTCNCACTCCCCCTCAAGCAGGTGCATACAAATCATATGTACCGAGCTTGTTACATATATAACCAATACGAGGACCAGTGAGGGACTTGGTGAAAATATCTGCAAGTTGATCATTCGACCTCACAAACTTTGTAACAATCTCTCCTGAAAGTATCTTTTCTCTGACGAAGTGACAATCAATCTCAATGTATTTAGTTCTCTCATGGAACACCGGAGATGTCTGCTTACTTGCTCGATACTGAAAGAGCTCATTATATTCTTCTTTAGATAAAAAAAATCCTTCGTTACCTGGAGTCTCGGTCTGAGCAATGTAAGTATTTTTGGGTGGACGACCATGTAAGGAATAGCACATTTCACGAGTGTATCCAAGTTTGTGACAATAAGAACACTTGGGTCTAGATTTTCCAAAACGACCTCCTCCTCGTCTATGCTCCATAGTTTGAGATGCCCGAACATCCATTGTCTGGGATGCAAGAACAGAGGAATCAAGTATCTGTGATGAGATCACTGATGGACTTGGTGCTGCAGCAAGGCGGAGTAATCTAGAGAATAATTCATCAACTGTCGGGACAGACGGACTAGCCAAAATCTGGTCGCGTACTGAATCANGCTACTCTTCTACCAATGTGGGACAATACTACACTATATACATGCTGTAAACTAACAGAATACATCTAGAAAAGTAACTTGTATCAAGTGCAAGTCTAAACAATTTTAGAGGCCCAAGCTTTTCTTGAAAGTAACCGTAAAAAAGAAAACATACTTGAATGAGCTCAAGCAGTGTTCTAGTATTTAATACTTGATACCAGAAAAAACAAACGAACACCACAAGACAACACCAGCAAGCAAAATACAACTGAAGAAACAAGTTCCACACAGATAAAGTTGGAATGCAGGAGGTGAAAATGAGTTAGGGTTCGAGAATGCTAAATTCAAAAAGGTGTCATAATTAAAATGGACGCAGCAATATTGACTCTTGGTGGCGAGTGAAACTGCTTTACTTTTGATGTATTAACAGAGTGTAACGACTCGACCGGTCGTTTTGAGAGTATTAGCCCCGATCCCCTATTTATTGCTTCCCCCGTATCTTTTTTCGGCTTATGTGACTTGTCGGGAGGTTTTGTTGTGGTTTCGGAGTGATTTGGGACACTAATCCCTAAAACGGAAACTTAAGTCTTAGGATTTTGACCGTAGCTGGAACTGTGTGAAGACGACTCCGGAATGGAGTTTCGTCGGTTCCGTTAGCTCCGTTGGGTGATTTTGGACTTAGAACGTGTCCGGATTGTGTTTTGAAGATCTGTAGCTAAATTAGGCTAGAAATGGCGAAAGTTGAATTTTTGGGAAGTTTGACCGGTAATGGACTTTTTGATATCGGGGTCGGATTCTGATTCCGGAAGTTGGAGTAGGTCTGAAATGTCAAATATGACTTGTGTGCAAAATTTGAGGTCAATCGGACGTGGTTTGATAGGTTTCGGCATCGGTTGTGGAAGTTTGAAACTTTGAAGTTCATTAGGCTTGAATCGATGTGTAATTCGTGTTTTTAGCGTTGTTTGATCTGATTTAAAGGCTCGACTAAGTTCGTGTGATGTTTTAGGACTGGTTGGTATATTTGGTTGAGGTCCCGGGGGTCTCGGGTGAGTTTCGGATGGTTAACGGATCATTTTTGGACTTAGAAGATTTTCTGGTGCTGGGCTGGTGCTGGTGTAATCGCACCTGCGCAAGGCTGACCGCAGGTGCGATGCCCGCAGGTGCGAGCAATATGGCGCAGGTGGGGGCTGGGGGAAATGGCCGGTGGTCGCAGGTGCGGTGTTAAGGCCGCAGAAGTGGAGTCGCTTCTGCGGGGGATCGATCGCAGAAGCGGACCAGTGCTTTGGCGCAGATGCGCACCCGCAGAAGCGAGATTTAGACCGCATAAGTGGGGGAGCCGCAGGTGCGGGAGAGTCGATCGCAGGAGCGAAGGAACTGCATATGCGGGAATGTCGTCTCTTCTGCGACGCCGCAGATGCGGCTAAGTGACAGCATAAGCAGAAATGCTGGACAAAACACTTAAAAGCAAGGGTTCGCGATTTTTGCTCATTGTGAGCTCGGGTTTGGCGATTTCTTGAGAGCATTTTCGAGGGATTTCTTGAGGTAAGTCCCTTGTGTTTATTTTTGATCAATAATCTTGCTTCCCCATTTATTTTTCCACCTAGTTAGTGTGTATTTAAGGTGGAATTTGGGAGTTTGAGGCTAGGGATTTGGAGAGTTTGATTTGAGGATTTGAGGGTCGAGTTGATGTCGGATATTGGTAATTATGGTATGGTTGGACTCGTGAGTGAATGGGAGTTCATATTTTGTGACTTTTACCCGATTTCGAGACGTGGGCCCGGGTCGACTTTTTAGGGCGATTTTCGAAATTCTTGTTAAAGTCTTGATTTCCTTAATTAGATTAGTCTATTATAGTTGTATTTATGATATGTAATTGTTTTTTGCTAGATTTGAGCCATTCGTAGTCGGATAATCGAGGAAAAGGCATTCTTACTGATTGATTGAGCTTGGTTCGAGGTAAGTGGCTTGCCTAACCTTATGTGGGGGAAATCCCCTTAGGATTTGGTACTGTTGTGATATGTGAGCCCCGTGTACGCGAGGTGACGAGTGCGTACACGGGCTATTTGTTGTAAAACCCGATTTTTACTGAGTAGTAACCTGTTTTCATTCTTAATTGAGTTATACCAATATGTGTAGTAATCTTGTTTAGTCTAATATCGCATGTCTACGTGCTTTAACTACTTATTTGAACTCTGTGCAATATGCCTAGTTGATTTCCTGCTTTTCCTTGTTCTTTATCAGTCTTAACTGTAGAATTCCTGCGGTTAACTGTGGTATTTATCGGTTTGAGCTGTGTGTTTACTTTTGAGACTACGAGGCGGTTCCTCGGGAGTTCTCTCTGCACATTTACTTTTGAGACTACGAGGCGGTTCCTCGGGAGTTCTCCCTGCACATTTACTTTTGAGACTACGAGGCGGTTCCTCGGGAGTTCTCCTTGCACAACTTCAGGAGTTCTCCCTGCCTATTTATTTTGGGACTACGAGACGGTATCTCGGGAGATCCCCTGTTGTTTATACCTGTGTGTTGTACTGTTATTTCGCTATGTTTTCCTTTTGTTAAATTCCAGTCTCTTATTATACTGTCATATTCTCCTGCTTTATTTATTATATACCAGTGGGTCTGACCTGACCTCGTCACTACTCTACCGAGGTTAAGCTTGGCACTTACTGGGTACCGTTGTGGTGTACTCATGCTACTCTTCTGCACATGTTTTGTGTGCAGATCCAGGTGCTTCTTTTCAGCCACGTCATCAGTGAGCAGTGACAGTTTAGAGACTTCAAGGTATATCTGCCGCGTCCGCAGACCTCGGAACCCCCCTCTATACTCCCCTATGTCAATTACCTTATGTACTTCTTTTATTAGACTCTGGTGGTATAGAGATACTAGTTGTTCTTCTGTAGCTTGTAACTTACGATGTTTCGGGTTTTGGGAATACATTGTATACTCGAGTGTCGGTTATTGAATATGCCGGACGGCATTTTTATCAGTTGTTTAATTATCTGCTGCAGTTGGCTGTTAAAGTTTTCCTTTCATTTTCTTTATTCCGCAAGTATTAGGCTTACCTAGTAGTAGAGACTAGGAGAGAGAATTGGGTCGTGACCCAGAGTCACTACCAGGTGCTGCTTTTAGGCCTTTGCTTGCGATGAATAAATTGCTTTTCTGAGAAAAGAAAGTGGAGAGATCGGTGGGGGAAGGAAAAGCAAGGAAGAAGAAGGAGCAGTGCAGCACTAGATTGAATGGTCAAAGTATTTGAACGCAGCATCAAGAGAAATAGAGAGTCCTATCGGACAAACAATAGAGAAATTGCCAACATTAACTAGAAGAAAGAATTAACACCTTGAAAGCTATACCTTTAACTTCTGGTTTGCATCTTTTTCAAGAACAAGACCAGCTTCAGTGAACGCATTAGTGATCACCTCTAGAAAGGCTAAGGATAACAAATGCAGGTACTAAATACCCTTATAAATAGCAGAGAAAATAAAAAAGTACGTAGGGCAAGGGAAGAAGATGCCAGAAACTATGGATACGACAGGCACGTAAAAGTCGGTCTTCACCACCAATTACTTCCACAGGAGCATATACAACACGAGCTTTTGCTGGAGAACCTCTCATGCTTTCCTGCAGGATAAGAACAAATTTGAGTTCCAGCCAAGAAAAGTTGTGACCTTGTGAAATCTCATTAAAGCAACAGTCCAGAAGTATCCAGCATCTAAAAATCTACATGGTATGTAGTCTCTCTCTCTCCCCCTCCCTCCCTCTCCTTCTCCTTCTCCTTCTCCTTCTCCCTCTCTCTCACACACACACACTCACATACATACATACATACATACATACATACATACATACATACATACATACATACATACATACAAAGACCAACCAATTGAAGACGCATCCACCAAAAGAGATTGGTGTCACATGAAACAGAACTTATCATTTTGTTCATTTGCTTTCGCCTAATTCCAAGTGGGTCAACATTGCTATCAGTGGCATATTTGAAGACTTTAATACAAATTTACCCGTTCCTTGTTTCTGAGTTAAAAAATATAGAAGTCTATTTGCTATTTAATGTTTCCACTTTCTTTCACGTGTTGACAAGAGTGGGTTGCTCTAGTGGTGAGCACCCTCCACTTCCAACCAAGAGGTTGTGAGTTCGAGTCACCCCAAGAGCAAGGTGGGGAGTTCTTGGAGGGAGGGAGCCGAGGGTCTATCGGAAACAGCCTCTCTACCTTAGGGTAGGGGTAAGGTTTGCGTACAAACTACCCTCCACATACCCCACTAGTGGGATTATACTGGGTTGTTGTTGTTGTTGTACTTTCTTTCACGTGTTGTCATTTTTGTTTGTAATTCTTCCTTTTAAGCATAAAAAGTCGAGGCAGACCTGATCTATGTTTCTTCTTCAATTGCGCTACAGTTTCGTTACAAAATATTAACAATAATATACTACTTCCCTGTATCCTGTTTGGAAGATATGTTCTTTCCCTTTTTAGTGTTTTTCCAAAGCCATTAACTTATCAATATTTCCTTAGTCACTGCCATTGATAGAAAATCATGAAACCACAAGAAATATTTGAAACTAGCAAATTATTATAACACAATAAATATACATCAGAATCCGTACAATAAAATTTGAGTGGAAAATATACATATCTAAGCAAGTAAACACATACTGCGTCCTAAGCCTGGCAATAACTCTCCAGAAAAGGAAAAAGGCAAAAACTTACTAGAGAAGTACAACTAAATTGATTAAAGTTAACTCGTATTATTTCACTTTGCACATCAAGCTATTGAAATTTTGTAGTGCACGGCAATGTTACATAGAATATCACGTTCAAAACATGTTATACTTATAAAAACAAAAAAGGAACAAGCACGTTAGGTGATAACTTAAATTCCAACCTTATAGTTGGACATTTTTCAGATATCTTTAGTATGAGATCTATCATTTTTCTTTTGAAGTAAAAGATTAAAGTGCAAGTTAAATTTTTAGAGAATGTTTAGACAAGAGTGGGTTGCTCTAGTGGTGAGCAACCCTCCACTTCCAACCAAGAGGTTGTGAGTTCGAGTCACCCCAAGAGTAAGGTGAGGAGTTCTTGGAGGGAGGGAGCCGAGGGTCTATCAGAAACAGCCTCTTTACCCCAGGGTAGGGGTAAGGTCTGCGTACACACTAACCTCCCCAGACCCCACTAGTGGGATTATACTGGGTTGTTGTTGTTGTTGTTGTTTAATGCAGTCTCTAGCAGAAATGCAGGATAAGGCTGCGTACAATAGACCCTTGTGGTCCGTCCCTTCCCTGGACCCCGCGCATAGCGGGAGCTTAGTGCACCGGGCTGCCCCTTTTTTTTCTGTTTAATACTTAAAACAAAAAAATATAAATGATCTTCGTCCAAATGAACTTAAATAATATAAAACGTTAGTTTCTATAATAGCATATGAAACACTTCCTATATGACTGTTGCAATAATCTTAGGCTCAAGGTGCTAAAAAGTGTGAGCACCGAAAGGCTACTTGCTCCTAGATGTCTTCCATCAATGTTCGTTCAAGAACTTTCTACCATCTCAGCAAGAGATGATAGAGCCCGCTCCCTTCCCCTACATAGGAGCCCATCAGTGATCCTTTCCCACTAATCTTATGGTAGGTGGAGAATCCTTATCACTACTTTCCCTCGTCTTTTACTTTGATCAACAAATCCTAGATCCAAATTATATTTGCTGCATCAAGATAACCATTAATATTGAAATACATTTGCTACAGCAAGAGAACCAATAAACCTTCTGCTCAATCTAAAGCATCCTTCCATTTTCTTGGTTTATATATATATATATATATATATATATATATATATTTGAATTTTGTAATAGGATTACATGAAACTTCAGTAGAAGCTTAATGGTTTCTATAGATTTTAGTCAACTTTTCATGCCCGTGAATACAACAACAACAACCCATTATGATCCCGCAAGTGGGCCCTGGGGAGGGTAGAGAGTACGCAGACCTTACCCCTACCCCCAGAGGGGTAGAGAGGCTGTTTCCGAAAGACCCTCGACTCGAAAAGAAGAAAAATAAACAATAGACAATAGGTCAGTGACAGCAATAGAAGATAAAAAATATTAACAACATCGTAAGAAATAGAAAAATAGATGTAAAAGCAATAACTATAAACAACAATACTACCATAGAAAATAGTGAGGAAACTACACAAACCACTACCAACCCACGGCGAAACAACAACAGGCCAGCCCCGCCCCCGGAACAACCCTAACCTACAACCCTAATGCTCGACCTCCACCCCTTCCTATCCAGAGCCATGTCCTCGGAGATCTGAAGTCGCGCTATGTCTTGCCTGATCACCTCACCCCAATACTTCTTAGGTCGTCCTCTACCTCTCCTCGTACCTGCCAATACTAACGTCTCACACCTCCTAACCGGGGCATCTATGCTTCTCCTCCGCACGTGCCCGAACCATCTAAGCCTCACTTCCCGCATCTTGTCGTCCATGGGAGCCACGCCCACCTTCTCCCGAATATCTACATCCTAATCTTATCCAGCCTAGTGTGCCCGCACATCCATCTCAACATCCTCATTTCTGCCACTTGCATCTTCTGGGTATGGGAATTCTTGGCTACCTAACACTCAGCCCCATACAACATGGCCGGTCTAACCACCGCTCTATAGAACTTGCCTTTGAGTT